GGGACGGGGGGGACGGACGGACGGACGCTAAGTCCTGTTAGCCCCTCCCCCTTCCACCGCCTAGGCTTCCTCTTCCTGGTGCCCCTGAGGTCTCTGGGATTTGCAGTCCAGAATCACAGCAGCAGGACTCTGCAGGGTTGTTCAGCACTTCCTCTTCCTGCTTCCAGGTGCCTCTGGGATTTGTAGTAGCCAGCAGTAAGTTTTTAGCAGGACAGGGCAGCTCTGTCCTCGGTGGGGTGGGGTAGGGGGTAGAGTTTAACCCTTCTCCCTGGCCCCAGACCCCAGCCAAGGTTTGCCTGGGGGGTGTGGAGGGGGAAAGGGAGGCAGTCCCTGCCTCTCCCCTTCCCCCATTCTCTGCTGGAGCAGACAACACAGCCCAGCTCAGGGCTGGAAAGCATGCTGGGAGACTAGGATTTAAATTTGAACCAGAAAGGATATGGGACAGAAGTTTCATAAGCCAGTTTGACCCAAATCAGTTAAGTCTGATACTACATTCAACCAGGTTTATCTTAAACCAGTACAGCCATTTTTGAAACTGGTTTATGTGCAATGAACTTCTGTTCTCTTAGAGGTTTAAACCAGCTTCTGATGACTTAAACCAATTTATGTGCAACTTCTGCCCCTGGCCATGCAGTGCACAAAGCTATGGTTAATCCTCATAGGTGGTTAATATTTAAAATGGACATGTCACGTGTGTGTCTGAGAAGTTATTACGTGCATTCCATTCATCTCAAAAGGCTGGCCTGAAAGCAAGTACAACTAGTAGACTCAACCCAAACAACTAAAACCACACTTCCCTTTAGTAGATCATTAATCCCAAACTCTAACAGTTTATTTTTCCTGGCAAATCCTTTGTATTCACTGTGCAGCTAATGTTTATGCTTTTGCAAAGTAAAGCATTAAATAACCTATTAATTTCCCCCCTCTCATTAAAGTATATTTAAACCAAAATCCAACACATTGTGCTTTCCAGATGAATTTCCATTTATAAAATGACAAATATTAAAATACAGAGATTTCATGTTGACGTTTTAGAAGACGCCCGAGTCTCCAATAGTGTTATTTAACTACATTCTGAAGCAAGAGTGAGATTTCAAAAGCAAAGCCTACCAGTTCGTTGCTTGTAGATGTAAGTCTCAGTTTTTCTTCGATCTCTCTTCCTATTTTCTGAACAGTTACCTGAGTCTGTTTAATTGCACACTGGGCTCTGTGAAGCCTGTGAATAAAACACAAGTTACAGAAATTAAGTTCTTTGTATGTGGCTCTAATGATGAGCTTGCCTGTTACTTCAGCAGCAGAATCAACACGACTGCAAGCAGACAATCAGCTGTGTTAAAGAGGGGCAGTATACAAACGGACTCTTTAGGCTAAGGAAGTTTAATAAGCAGTCTCCCAAAAAGCAGCTTAGTAACTTGAACTGCAGTGAATGCTTAGTGTCCTCCCCACTAGTTAGGTTAACAATACACAACCCTCATGTGCCCGTGGCAAAAGTGAGAGGTTCAACAGATGGGACCCAACAGGCTGTCGAAGGTAGAAACAAGACGTAAGGGAGCGCGCATCTAAAACACAGCACAATATAGAGATACTCCAGCTGGCATCAGAATACCTATCTCAGGTGCTACCTCGCTGCAACAGCTCAGAGCTCAGTACAGCAATGGTTTACCTTGCTAGCTTGGATATTTGTACCCTACACCGCAGGCCCTGTATACCCCAAACCACAGGGCGAGTGTGCCCCAAATAGATCAAGAAGAGGATATCCAGGTTCAGCAACTGCATATTCACCACTCCTTAAAATCAGGCCAAATAGAAGAGGCAGAGAGCTGAACATTTACTATGTACTTCTATGTTTCTTTAGTGAAAGTTAAAGATGCAGAGGAACGCAATAGGAAAAGCAGGCCAAGGAAGCATTAAGCTGATTCTTTTCTAAGCGCTTGAGAGTACCACGGTTGCCACAAATGGCTGGCACATCTTAAAGAGGGAAGAATGCAAAACTCGCTAAATTTACATCCTCCAACAACCCTACAATCCAAGGTAGTATCAGTCTATCCAACCACATCCTCAACCCATCTGAGTGTTTGTACAATCCTATGGCCTTCCTTTCTGTCCCATTGAACAACTCTATACAGTGCATCTGTTTGGAGACCTCAAGGCTTTTTTCCCCCCACTGCTTAAGACTAAGGGAATATTTCCAGGACAAGGAGGCAGACAACAAATCAACCCAGCACAGACCTAAATCATGTGCTAGACAAGGACAGCTCCTGGCCTCCAACCAAGGGATGCACCCCCACCCTGCACCTGTGTATAAACTGTTTCCACCTAGGTGCCCACTCTGAGCTTTCTAAAAAACACCACCCACTTACATTACAACCTCAGTCCTGTGGAACAGAGCCATACACAGCCTTAAAAACAATACTGATATCATTGGGAAAGTCTACAGGTGTGCATTAGCCTATTTTAATGTACATTAAGGATTAACTTAAAAAGTGCTTTTGCTAATGCTCTTTAAAATAGACTAATGCGCATTAAAACATCACTAAAAAAAACCATGGGGCGTTTTTACAGGTGCAAGTGCTGCAGTGCCAGGCACTTGGAAAAGCACCTGGTGCCATGACTAATGCAGTTGTATAAGCAGCGAAATGCGCGCCAGCGCTAAAAAAATGGCGGTGGCGTGCTTTTGAATTAAAACACCTTGGCTGTTCTTTAGTTCACAAGCACATTTCCCCACATATACAACTGCACACAGCACAGTGGAGTTCGCCTCCGGTGCATCGCAGGATAAAAAGTTATGTGTACAAACTGAGCCGATCCTAGGGGAGCCGGAGGCAAATCAGCCTGTGCTGATTTGCCTTTAATACTGCGTGGAGCTATAGGACCCCCTCAAAAGCAGGGTGTGGCAGTGCTGTAGCAATGCAGTTTGATGCCTGGGGCCAAATCTCGCATGCCCCAGACAAGCCACTCTTCAGCGTCGCGGTGCACAGCAGAGTGGGGAAGGAAGAGAGTGGCGAGTAGCCGGACGCTTCTTCTGCGGCACGGGGCTAATCCGCCAACTCCAGGTGGGCCCCACAGGAGGTGCCACAGTCGCTCCACCTAGCTCCGCGGGGCCCCCCAAAGCATGGGGCCTGGGGTGGTCAACCCGATTCGCCCTACCCGAGGGACGGCTCTGTGTACAACTGTCCATGCTCTTTAGCTTATGCTCATTAAGATAAGCTAGTGCGCATTTTCCTAGTACGTCACAGTAGAGGCACTAGATTTAATGTGCATTAACTAAAATGCATGACTGCACATATAGATGCATCCATCATGTAACAGGCTGGTGCAACTGGACAACACATCATGCATACAGGAGTTTTTTTTGTTCCTCCTTCTCTACACTTTGTATTGTAATCACTGCTTTCTGTTTAGCAGCTCTGTTTCCTGCAGTCTCTTCCCAGCATCTGATGAAGCCCTATGCTTAACAAAAGCTTATACTATACATCTCTGATTTAATTAGTTTATAAAAGTGTAGGACTGACATGCTTAGCAACCACCATCAAGAAGAGAAGGCTGCAATGGCTTGGCCACATCAGAAGATTGGGAGGAAACCATATCCAAGAATATTTTGTGCAGGGAGATTCAAGGCAGCTCTAGAAAGTTAGGCTTCCCTCTGCGGCTGTACCACAATGTGGGCAAAAGTGATATGAGGTCATTCAGCATCAGCGTAGAAAGCTGGGAGGAGCACACAGAATCCCATCCAATCTGGAGGGAACATCTGGCATCAACATAAAGCAGCTTTGATCCAGAGGATGGAAGCAAATCGAGAAAGAAGAAAGCGGTGCATTGTGAACTTGGACTTCAACTCGGAGATCACCTGGATCTGTGAAACTTGTAACAAGCTGTGTTGCTCTCGAATTGGGCTCGTCAGCCACAAGCGGATTCATTGGGCATTTGACTAGACCTCTTACGCATACACCACGAGTAGGATGGTCATCATAGAGGACATAAAGACATCCGGTTTCATATTGATAGACGACAGAAGACAACCAGACTGTCCTCTATGATGGCTAACCTAACCATGAGCCAAAGGATCAATAGTTGCTGATATAAAAGTGCAAATCTACCCTACAGGGTAACTAGCAGGCATGTGAACGGATGCCATGGAGCAGCTGAGACAAGTTAAACCCCCATCTCTTCAACCCACAGTAAATCTGACTGTCTACACAACATCAGGACGCAGCATTGTGTTGTTGGACAACTCGTTCCCAAAGGAATAGTGGTATTTTACTAACTAGCAACCAAACATTGTTTCCCTATTTTTTATAAAAACTCAAAAAAAAAAAAATTAGGGAAGATACTACTATGGAGAATTCACTCAGTAAAAACGAGAACATGCCACTGAGTAGCACATTTTTCCAGTCAAAGTCAGTATGAAGGAAGACACAGACACAGGGAAGCAAAAATATGATAAATCCTATACACAAGAGTCATACTTCATGTTAAAAGACAAGTAATATCCAAGTGATAAGAAGGCAATTTTAAAATAATTTTGATCAGTTGTTCATTTCCCTTATGACACTATCCTAAAAGCCATTAAACATCAAGTACACCTCCAAGGACAGCTTCATATAGATTCAATTTTTGTAGCCTCTCTACACAAATCTTCCTCAATTTCTTCATTAGAGAATTCCCAAAACTTGTATCTTAATAATTTAAAAAAATAGATTAGCATTATATTTATGAAAAAAACACCTCTTGCAATTTTTTGCTATGAGTCACATGGATACAGTTGTCTACTTATCTATAAACACTAAAAACTCAATGAGTTAGCAATTTTAGGCCAAGATTTCCCTGGCAAATATTAGCATTAACTATGGTAACTCCAAGAGCTATGAGGGGCTGCAATGTTACACGTGCAACTCAAAATACTTAATCTTGGAGAAATAACTTAATTTCCATCTACTTCCTTTGACCCACAGAGTAAAGTCATAGACATAAGTAGGTAAATGAAATAATGCATTAATAAAACAACACATAGCAAGTTTCTCCCAGCATCATTATAGTCCAGTATGGTTTAAATCACAGATTTAATCTGTATTAAGACCAAATTTCTGCAACAGAAAGAAACCCCACACACTGTCCCAACACCATCTCAGCAGAGAAGACAGCAAAAGCACCAACTGTATGTCATTGCAGAAGTACCATCCGTGCTTCAACTCTTAAAACAGTTTCATTTCAGAAATTTCAAAGGCTGGTCCCAAGACACTGAAAACAAAAGTTTATTGCCTTGCAATTTTCCCTACTTTCAGCTCTTCGAACGTCAGGGAGACTAACAAAGGGCTCCTTCCAGGTTTCATAAGGCTCATTTTAAGAGTCTCGTATTAGTTTGTTTTCTAAAAATCTCAAAGGAATTGAGATCGTTAGGATTCTTCAAGACTGTCTAACTCTCCAAAATGGAATCTGACATGCCAAGTCTCGTATTGAAATCCTTACGCATAAGTTCCCACAGCTGGCTCAGGATCCAAATAGTTTGGGCAACCGGAGAGAAACTTCAGGAACAAGGTGATCCAAGACACTAGTGTAGG